CTTTGTGTGAAAAGCATGCCTCGCATCTCTCCTTTAAACATACACCGCTCCCCCCCCATCACACCTTGAACCTGTGTCCCCTAGTAATTGACCCCTCCACCATGGGAAAAAGCCTCACCCTTTCCACTCTACCCATGCCATTCACAACCTTGTAAACTTCTATCCGGTCGCCCCCTCAACCTCCTGCACTCCAGTGAAAACCCAGTCTATCCAACCTTTCTGCATAGCTAAAATCCCCCTGGTAAACCTTCACTGTACCTTCTCCAAAGCATCCATATCCTTTGGTAATGTGGTGACCAGAACTGTATGCAATATTCCAAGTGTGGCCTAACTAAAGTTCCACAAAGCTGCAGCATGACTTGTCTATCCTTATACTCAATGCCCCTTCCAATGAAGGCAAGCATGCCATTAGCCTTTTTTACTACCTTATCTGTCTGTGCTGCCACCTTCAGTGATCTCAGCACTTGCACACCCAGATCCCTCTGCATATCAATATTCCTAATGGGTCTGCCAGTCCAGGAGATCCTGATATGACCAAGTACTCCTTAAAAAGCAACTTTACTTCTATATGCATGTCAGCCAGCGATCAGGAAATGATTTTTTCAGGTGACCACAGCAAATGTATCATCCTCAATGTCACCATTGAAAGGGGGGTGGGTGGTGGGTGGTGGGGGGTGGGATCCTTTTGATATCTGTCTTGACTACATATTATCTTCGCCAGAAGCACCAGAGAAGCTTTTATTGGAATCATTGCATCTTAAGAAGGGAATCCATTTATGTGCCTATGGCAACCTGGTGAAAGAGCTTAGAGAAATTAGTCTTGCTGCCTGCTTCTTTCACTATAGCCCTATAAATAGGACTGCTTAGGGATTTGTATATATAAGTTCATATCTTAGATTTTGTGATTAATATTATTTGGCATTTTATTTATGATCCTTTTTCACTTGGGATCTGTCCTACATAAATCAATTCAATTAAAGAAACTGTCACAGTGAGTAGCTAACCACAGTATAATGTAATACTGGAAAGATTTACTATTAACGTTTAATATATTTCAAAGGCTTGATGCATTACTTGATATACTGTTGGTAACAGTGGTTAACATCATTGCAAGGTTTGATATTAATAATCACAGTAAAGTAATTGACAACATAAATCTACAGGATGGGTACGAGACAGTAGTTGAATTTAGTCCAGCAATCAATCCAGTGATTGAATAGAATTCAATCTTTGATACAGCATGTACAAGATAAAATGGCAATAGAACCAGAGGGGAAGGAATAACTTTTTTTACACAGTGTTGTTATAATCTGGAATGCACTGGTGAAAGCAAACTGGAAAAACATGTAAAGAAAAAAATTGTAGGGCAATGGGGGTGAATGAGATCAATGGATTGCTCTCGTAAAGAGCTAGCACAGTCACAATGGGCTTAATGGCCTTCAACACTCTTATTCTTAGTATTTTAGCATGATTTTTAATTTAAAAAGTTACAAAGTCTTGTGTCCAGAACCAACTCAGCTGGAGAGCTGAACAGTTCAGTTTTTATGCTCTGATTTTGACTTCATCTAATTGTCTTTTGCTGTTGTTGCGTCTGTCAGTCTTCTATACGCAACAGCATCTTCCCAAAATCTTAGATTTTTAAAACTAGCAAATCTCTCTCTTTCCGCACCACTCATAAAACTGTAACAGATAGGAATAGAAGTGGGCCATTCAACCCTTCAAGCCTGCTCTGCCATTCAATTGGATTCATTCAACATTCCTCACACTTGATTCCCCTACTGATCACACCTACAAAAATATTCTTAGGTAACCTCTTTGGAAAACTTAAATAGATCAAAAATATCAGAATGCATGTAGCATTCTTAACAAAGAAAACAAACTGATAGAGCACAGTGAAGTAAATAAATATAATCTTAGTCGTAATGGAGATGTGACTGCAGGATGATAAGGACTAGGTCTTGAATATTGAGCGCTATCAGACTTTCAGGAATAGGTAGCTCAGTAAGGATGGAGCGGTAGCACCCTTAATCAACGATGGTATTAGTTTGACAGATCAGGGTATAAAAATGGTCTGATTGGAGACAAGGAGTTGTAGAGGAAAGAAGTCACTAGTGAGAGTGATCCACAGGTTCTGTAAAAACAAATAATGTACAAAGGTGAGTGGCAAGTGAGATAATTGGTTGAAATATAAAGAACAGCAGAGAATGACTAAAAGGTTAAACAGTGGAAAGAAATTAAGGTGAGATGAAGCTCGCTGGAATATGAAAATGGAAAGGAGGAAATTCTACAGATATCTAGAAATTAAAAGAGTTAAGTAAATTTCCTATTGGTCCTCTTGAGAATGAAAGCAGGGAATTAATGGAAGATAATAAGGAACTAGCAGATGAAAAAAGTAGATATTTTGCTCCTGAATTCATTATGGAATCAAAATAAAATCAGTTGTAAATCAGGAGTTGGAAGGAAACCAGGAGATTGGTAAAATTACAATCACCAGGAAAGTGGTACGAAGCAGACTAATGGAATTGTGGAATGACAAGTCCCCAGGTCCCAGTGGACTTTTTCCTAGGGTTTAAAAGAGCAGGTTATTGAGTAGATGTCATTGGGAACTGGAAAAACTCAAAGGTAATTAGGAAAGTCAGCATGGTTTTATGAAATGGAAATAATGTTTAACTGATTCTTGGAGTTCTTTGAAGGAGCAACATATGCTATGGATAAAGGTGAGTCTGTTGACATACAGTTCTTGAATTTCCAAAAAGCTTTTGACAGGATACCACATAAAAGATTATCTTTCAAAGTATGGACTCATAGTATCAGGGGTGACATACAGGACGGATAGAAGACTGGTTGGCTTCCAGCCAACTGAGTGGCAAGATGTAACAAGTGGGATCCTGGTGGGACTACAATCTTTTACAATTTATATCAATGACTTAAATGAGGAGAGAGAAGGCACATGGATGCTAAACTTACAGATGATACAAAGGTAGGTTGGAAAGAATTTATGAAGAGGACATAATGAGGTTGTAGATTGATTGACTATATATAGGTTGAGTGAGTGGGCAAAAATTGGGCAGATGGAGGATAATGTGGGAATATGTGATGTTGTTCACCAGAATTAAACAAGCAGAGTATTACTTAAATGGATTCTGTCGTTCACAAGTCATAGTTGGTATGTCTGTACAGCACAAATTAAGAAGGCTAAGAGAATTATATCCTTTATGATGTGAGAAATTGACCATAAAACTAAAGGTGTTATGTTTCATCTACACAGGGCATTGATGATACCACATCTTGAATACTGTTTGCAATTTTGGTTTCCCTATTTATTTAGAACGTAAAATGAGGAGTAGGCCATTCAGTTCCTTGAACCAACTCTGCCACTTAATACGATCATGGTCGATCTCATTTCAGCCTCAACTCCATTTTCCTGCTCATTCCCTATAACCTGTTAACCCATTACTAATTAAAATCTGTCCATCTCCTCTTTAAATTTACTCAATGTCCCAGCATCCACCACACGCTGAGGTAGAGAATTCCACAGATTCACAACCCATTGAGAGAAGTAATTTCTTCTTCTCTCTCTTTTAAATCTGCCACCTTTAAGCCTCAAACTGTGACATCTTGTTCTTGGTTGCCCCATCAGGGGTAACATCCTCTCTACTGTCTACTTTGTTGATCCCTTTTAACGTCTTATACACATCAATTAGATCAACACTTATTCTTCTCAACTCCAGACAGAATAGACCTAAGCTGCACAACTTTTCCTCTTAAGACATGCCTTTCATCTCTGAAATCAATCTAGTGATCCTTCTCTGAACTGTTTCCAATCCAACTACATCCTTCCTCAAGGGAACCAAAAGTATACGCAGTACTCCAAATGCATTCTCACCAATGCCTTGTACTGTTGCAATAATACTTCTCGACTTTTATATTCCATTCCTTTGGCAACAAATGCCAAAATTGCATTTGCCTTCCTTACTCATGCTGTACCTGCACATGAGCTTTCTGCAATTTGTACACAAGGACACCCAGGTCCCTCTGCACTGAAGCATTTTGAAGTTTCTCTCCATTTAGATAGTATGTCCTCCTTTTAGCCTTCTGACCAAAATGGATAACCTCTAACTTATCCATATTAAACTCCATCTGCCAAATCCCAGCCCATTCATCTCGCCTATCCATATCTATTTGTAAATTTCTTAATTCCTCATTGCAACTTACCTTCCAACCTATTTGACAGTCATATGCAATTTGACTATAGTATATTTTATTCCTGTATCCAAGTCATTAATACAAATTGTAAATAGTTGGGGCTGAAGTATAGTGGCACCTTACTAGAGACAGCTTGCTACTCATAAAAAGAGCCATTTATCGTCACTTTCGGGTTTCTGTTGGTTAGCCAATCATCTGACTAAGCTAAAATATTACCCCCTGTACCCATGCAATCTTACCTTGTGTATTCTCCTTTTAAACAGCACCTTCTGAAGTGCATTTCCAGATAGTCTATATCTTTAGGACCCCCTTTAACTACTTTGCTTGTTACATCTTCAAACTGCAGAAAATTAGTCAAACATGATTCATCCATCATCATCATCAGCAGCAATCATTCACTAATGAGTATGATTGTGCACCTTGGAAATTCTCTGTCACTGCTCGTGAATTTTGTTGGTCATTGCATAGCTGATGAGCCCAATTCTAGAGCTGCTTCTCCGATCACACATTTGTCAGGTATTTCCAAGAAGTGGAAGTGGTCCTCGGCCTTGCGATTGCTGGCATTGCTTTCTCCGGTTCCTTTTCCATATTTGCTCTCGCCAACAGGCATTCTCCAAGAATTGTGTCCCTTCGCACAGGAGTTGCCTCCAGGTTGGTTTCTTCTCAATGAGGGTCTCCCATGCATTCACATCTATTTGCATTTCTTGAGAGAATCCTTAAGGGGATCTTTAAAACGTTTCATTTATCCTTCCTTCTTTTGAGTGCCTTCCTTGAGTTGGGCAAAGAAGATTTACTTTGGTAATCAGAACCCCGGCATCCTAAGTACATGGCCAGCCCAGGGGATTTGGTTTTGAATGGTAACGAACGGTCTTTGAAATCATCTCCGAAGCTGTTGGGAGCATACATTTAGCTTTTTACTCTGTGCTTCTGTCAGCAGTTGTGACAAAATCAAAGGGGGTAGTTGTAGAGTTCAGCAGAAACCCACAGGGCAGGAAAGAGTTAAAAGAAACTTAATTGTATCAGGGAAACTTAATTGTATCAAGGTTAAAGTTTCTAGCAGTTACTCACAGGTCATTTTCATGTACCTGTCCTGATAGGACAAACAAACCCCTCAAGGGAAACAGAACTAGTTGTTAAAGAATTATTATAAGAACACCCCGAAAAAAGAAACAGTTATTGATTATATGGAGGACCTGATAACTGTATCTGGTACAATCTGATATAAAAAGAAGACAAATCTACTGTCTGTAAGAGAGAGACAGAGAGAAAAGGGAAAGAGAGAGAGAGGGAGAGAGAGAAAAAGAGAAAAAAAGAAAAAAAGAGAAAGATTGAGAGAGAGTTCCAGCTCGAACTTAAGCCCAGAACCACGTAACAGCAAGCTGTCCAAATAAAGACAACTGATAGTAGGAACTGCAGATGCTGCTCCAATCCCAACCTCACCATTAAACCCGCAGACAAGGGAGGCGCAGTTGTAGTATGGCGCACTGACCTCTACATCGCCGAGGCCAGACGCCAACTCTCCGACACCTCCTCCTACCGCCCCCTTGATCATGACCCCACCCCTGAGCACCAAACCATCCACAACCTCATCACCTCATCATGGCCTCCAACCTCATCGTTCCCCAACCCCGCACTGCCCGCTTCTATCTCCTTCCCAAAATCCACAAACTTGAATGCCCTGGTCGACCCATTGTCTCCGCCTGCTCCTGCCCCACCGAACTGATCTCCAACTATCTAGACTCCATTTTCTCCCCCTTGGTCCAGGAACTCCCTACCTATGTCCGTGACACCACCCACACCCTCCACCTCCTCCAGAACTTCCAATTCCCCGGTCCCCAACACCTCATCTTTACAATGGACGTCCAGTCCCTATACACCTGCATTCCCCATACGGATGGCCTAAAGGCCCTCCGTTTCTTCCTATCCCGCAGGCCCGACCAGTCCCCCTCCACTGACACCCTCATCCGCTTAGCCGAACTCGTCCTCACCCTCAACAACTTTCAATTCCTCCCACTTCCTACAGACAAAGGGGGTGGCCATGGGGACCCGCATGGGCCCAAGCTACGCCTGCCTCTTTGTAGGTTACGTGGAACAATCCCTCTTCCGTACCTACACTGGCCCTAAACCCCACCTCTTCCTCCGTTACATTGATGACTGTATCGGCGCCGCCTCGTGCTCCCACGAGGAGCTCGAACAGTTCATCCACTTCACCATCACCTTCCACCCCAACCTTAAGTTTACCTGGACCATCTCTAATACCTCTCTTCCCTTCCTGGACCTCTCTTGTCTCCATCTCGGGCAACCACCTAGAAACCAATATTCATTTCAAGCCCACTGACTCCCACAGCTACCTAGAATACTCCTCCTCCCACCCACCTTCCTGCAAAAATGCTATCCCCTATTCCCAATTCCTTCGCTTCCGCCGCATCTGCTCCCAGGATGAGGCATTCCACTCCCGTACATCTCAGTTGTCCTCGTTTTTCAAGGACCGTAACTTCCCCCCCTCAGTGGTCGAGAACACCCTCAACCGTGTCTCCCACATCTCCCGCAACTCATCCCTCACACCCCGTCCACGCAATAAGAACCAAAAAAGAATCCCCCTTGTTCTCACGTACCACCCCACCAACCTCCGGATCCAACGCATCATCCTCCGACACTTCCGCCATCTGCAATCCGACCCCACCACCAAAGACATCTTTCCCTCCACATCCTTATCTGCTTTCCGGAGGGATCACTCTCTCCGTGACTCCCTTGTCCGCTCCACACTCCCCTCCAGCTCCACCACAACCGGCACTTTTCCCTGCAACCGCAGGAAGTGCTACACCTGCCCCCATACCTCCTCCCTCACCCCCATCCCAGGCCCCAAGAAGACTTTCCACATCAAGCAGATGTTCACCTGCACATCTGCCAATGTGGTATACTGCATCCGCTGTACCCGGTGTGGCTTCCTCTACATCGGGGAAACCAAGCGGAGGCTCGGGGACTGCTTTGCGGAACACCTACGCTCGGTCCGCAATAAACAACTGCACCTCCCAGTCGCGAACCATTTCAACTCCCCCTCCCATTCCTCAGACGACATGTCCATCCTGGGCCTCCTGCAGTGCCACAACGATGCCACCCGAAGGTTGCAGGAACAGCAACTCATATTCCGCTTAGGAACCCTGCAGCCCAATGGCATCAATGTGGATTTCACAAGCTTCAAAAGCTCCCCTCCCCCTACCGCATCCCAAAACCAGTCCAGCTCGTCCCCGCTTCCCTAACCTGTTCTTCCTCCCACCTATCCCCTCCTCCCACCTCAAGCCGCACCCCCATCTCCTACCTACTAACCTCATCCTGCCCCCTTGACCTGTCCGTCCTCCCTGGACTGACCTATCCCCTCCCTAACTCCCCACCTACACTCACCTTTACTGGCTCCATCCCCGCCTCTTCGACCTGTTTGTTTCCTCTCCACCTATCCTCTCCTCTATCCATCTTCTATCCGCCTCCCACTCTCTCCCTATTTATTTCAGAACCCCCTTCCCCTCCCCCTTTTCTGATGAAGGGTCTAGGCCCAAAACATCAGCCTTTCTGCTCCTATGATGCTGCTTGGCCTGCTGTGTTCATCCAGCCCTGCACCTTGTTGTCAAAGACAACTGATAGCCATTTTACCATCTCTCTAGTCTCTCAAGTCTCTCATTCAGGTTCACGGTACAAGAACTTCAACAGTCACTATACCAATGCTGATAATTTTTGGTTTCAAATTAGGTATCTTGAAGAGAGGAATGGATGATAAATTAGGGACTTATTTATTCCAATTTTTTTTCTTAAGTAGAAAAGTCAGTAATCATTTGTGAATGGTACAAAGGGTTAAAATGGATTAAATGTTTTTTTTCTTAAACAGTTGTGTGCTCTTGGTTTAAAACTCTGTTTTGTAAAATTTGTCTGTCATACCAGGAATTTTAGACTGGCTTTTAATCTTATTTCATAACTTTGCTGATTCAGTAGGTCTGTAAGATTACTTGAGCTGGCTCTTCAAAGATTTACTCACATTCAATTTTAATTTAAAATGCTTCTAAATCTTACTAATTGAGAGTATTGGCCTTTAGCTCAGCCAGTATAACATAGTATAATTCTATTTCACATGCAGTACATGATCATAAAATGGATTAGATCATGGGCTGAAATTCAGAAACTCATCGTCTCGTTAGAAAACATAAGATGTAAGACAAAAAACAGTGGTGTTCTTTTACCCATCATTATGTTATTTAAGGATGCATGTAAATACATTGGAGGTGGTTCAGAGGAGCTTGACTGGATTTAGGCTTGGAATAGAGATAGTAGGAAGGGTCCAGGCCCCGAAACGTCAGGCTTCCTGCTCCTCTGATGCTGCTTGGCCTGCTGTGTTCATCCAGCTCTACACCTTGTTATCTCTGATGCTTGGAATAAACAAGTTGTCTTAAAAGGAACGTTTGGTCAGACTGTGAATATTTCCTTTGGAGTTCAGAAGAATTGGGGTGACTTGATTGATTGCGAATGATTTTAAAAAGATGGATGTTTTCTGTTGCAAGTGAGCCCCGAACTAGGGGGCACTTCTTAAAATTAGGAGTCACACTTTTAGACCAGAGATAAGGAGAAGTTTATTTTTCTCTGAGGGTTTGTGTGACTTCAGAACTTTCCATCTGAGAAAGCAGCAGTGGAGGGGAGTCATTGAATATTTTTAATGTGGAGATGTATCGAATTTTGTTAGACAAGTGGATCAAAGGTTATTGGGGTGGTTGGGGATTAACATGTACCAAAAATAAACAGATCATCATTGACTTTGAGATTGTAAGAACTGCCGATGCTGGAGTCAGAGATAACATAGTGTGGAGCTGGAGGAACACAGCAGACCAGGCAGCATCAGAGGAGGAGGAAAGTTGACGTTAACTTTCTTGTTCCTCTGATGCTGCCTGGCCTGCTGAGTTCCTCCAGCTCCACACTGTGTTATCACTGACTTTGTTGAAGTTCTTAAAAGGTCAAATGGTTTACTTCAGCTCCTAATATTTATGTTCATAAACCATAGGTCTTAAATATCAACATCCATAAGTGAACAGGATTTGACTATATCTGAACAGGCATCACCTCAAATGAAAGGATTGTTGTTGAATTGTTTGAGATTTCACAAATAAAAATAAATTAATATACTTGCTTCTAGTGTTTGAGAGATGAATGTTGGCTAGGATGGTAGGAGGAAGCATTGCCCTTCAAATAACATTGCGCATCTTTAATATTCACTTGTGCCACCGTTATAGACAGCTGGGTGACTTGGTGTAACATCTCAAGAGTTAAGATGGCATCACCAATTTTGAATTCCTTCAAATTATAGTTGATTGTTCCCTCCTAAAGACATTGCCATCCTGAAATATGATTCCAAGGATCCCAGTCACTCCCAGATGAATCATTTTTATGGCAAAATCCCATCAGTAAGTCTATGCAATCTGTTTTACTCTGAGAAACTCATAGCCAAACCTGATATCCACACATCTTCACCTCCAGCAGGTGTCAATGCATAATAATCAGGAACAATAACCCTGGCTGATTTATTTTTCCTCTTTTTTTTCCCTGCAGTACTCAATTGATCCTTCCAATTATCCTAGCCAAACCCAGTCAACTCAAAATAGATTGAGTTGAATGTAAGACCCTCAGGTCTACATGCCACAGTTAAGCACTGGATAGTACAAATCCATATTTAACAGTTGACTCCCAAACCTATTTTTGGCACATCGTTATTGAGATATAAAGGACTTTTGAGCAAGCTGTTGTGTTACATCTCTCAGTCAGTATGTCAATATACCTTTAAGAGTCATAGTTCATTGTACCATAGCATGTGATCTGAGAGTATTGAAAGCATAGTGCTTTGTTGTAATCAAAAAGTTTCATATGAGCTC